GGTGAGCCAGCCAAAGTGGAAAAGGAGAGTATATTGCCTGGCTCTTGTGCTAAAAAAAAAAATCAGTCTGTTCCCCACAATCAGTTTTTCCTGGGCTCCTGCAGGGAAACCGTGATAGGGGTTGCTTCTTAGACATAGGTTTGTAGCTACAGGTCGACCACTCAGTTAATATTTTCCCCAAGGGGCTTTTAGATGGAACAATACGGCACCTCTCATAAGTTTAACTAAATCCCTGGCTTCCAAAAACAAACGGGAAACTCCAAATACCAAATACCAAATAGATATCAAGTGACAAAAACACCAAATGTTTCCCAATTCCCACTCAACCGGGCCTAACACACCAAAGAGCGCTCCAAATTGAGGGAGACTCATAGACTCCCTCCCAAATGAGGAGACCTGAACTCCCTCCGCGAGGGGACTCAGATTCCTCCCGAATGTGTGAAGGCCAAGGTCTTGGCGTGCACGCCAGGGGAACTTACACCAAACGCCAGGGGACCGCGGTTTTCCATCCAGTTTCCATCTCCTCAAAGGTAAATCCAGGGTGCAGAGAAGAGCTGTGCCTCTCCCGAGGAGGACTTGGGAAGTTCCCCGGAGGAAAAAGAACTCCGGCAGCTGCTGGGACTCTCCCTCATCCTCCTGGAGAGAGGGCGCTCCCTCTCAGCAGGAGGGTCAGGATGCCACCCGGGATGCCCAGGCCCCTCTCTGACAGCACAGACCAGCATAGATAGGTGAGCCCTGGTGCACAGCAGCAGGCAACAGCTCCGTCAGTTGGAAGTCAGAGTTGGGGTTGGGAGAGCCGAAGTGGCATCCACCTCCTGGCTGGCTCGCCAAAATTGTTACCGAACGCCGGCCTCAGTTTCCCTCAGCCAATAAAAGGAAACTAAGTTTGAGGAAAAGGAAAGCGGTTTTATTTGTCGACAAATGAGGAGGGCGGCAGACTCATGTCCGAAAAACCACCGTCCTGCTCTTTGGCAGTGGGCAGGGGTATTTATACAGGGGGAGATGGGTAGGCATCCGCGAAGGGGAGGGGGAAGGGGTCCCCACAGAGACAAGTGGGCGCCAGCTCAACAGGGAGATGGATGGGTGTCAGCTCATTCATCTTAAGGGAAGGGGAAGGTGTCAAGGCACAGAGACGGGTGATCGCCAACTTGTTTTCCTTAAGGGTCTACAGGGAACCCGGTGGGCGCCAGCTTTTTTTTCTTCCCAAGGGGAGGGGAAGCTGCAACAAATGGGAAAGACAATCCATCAATCCTGTTAATGCTAGATAAGGGGAATTGCAAAAAATGGGGGAAAGACAAACTTGTTAACTGTATCACAAGTGGTCTCCCTAGGACTGGAACATCAGAACAGAAGGGAAGAGAATGACCAGCTTAAAGATGTGAACCTGGAGCTGTGTCTATCAGAGAATTTAAGCCAAATATTAAACTTAAGGCTGCTACACGGAGTCTTGACAAGGCTGCAAGGACTATGCCGTGGTAGAATAGAATGACTCTAATGGTTTAATTTTGATCACATCTCAGTTAAACTTCAAGTCTGATCAAAGTTACAACCTCCCTTAGGAATGTGTCTTAAGGACACATGTGATAAACTTAGAAATTTCTGGTCATCTCCAATGAGGGAATTCTTTGCATCTGCTAAAGGAAGAAGGGGTAACCTGCCCTTTCCTGCTCCATAGGTTACCTGAATAGGAAAGAATCCTTTTTTCATTCATGATTCTTCGTGTTGCCTTAAAAACCTTTCCCATTCAGTAGCTCCTGGGAGCTCGCTTAGACATTCTAGATGGACACTATTTACGAATGGTTTAATAAGCCAGTCAGGTCTTTAAACTTATTGTTTGTATTTTTGTTACCATTATCTAGAACTTCACTTTCTTCCCTTAGAAGACACATTCTGTCCTTGTTCTCCAGTTGTGAATCAGTTACAAATGACTGGTCTGTCAGCTAAGCATGAACAAGTTTGTCTTTCCTGTATTTCTTGCAATTTCTCCCTTGTTTGACAGGTTTGTCTTTTTGCCTTCCAAGGAAAAGGGAGCTAAAAAGCACGTGGTGCCCACCCATCTCCCCACAGACCCTGGCCTCCTCCCCTTTGCAGACCCTTGCCCAGCTTCCCTTTTTTTCTTATTTGTATAAATACCCCTGCCCTCTGCCAAAGAGCAGGATGGTTGTCTTTCAGACATGAGTCTCCTGCCCTCCTCATTTGTCCACAAATTAAACCACTTTCCTTTGCTTCAAACTCTGCTTCCTTTTATTGACTGAGGGAAACTGAGGCTGGCATTTGGCACACAACTTCAGTTTTCTTAGCTCTTTTTTTAAAAAAAAATTTATTTATTGGGCCTTCCTGGTGGCGCAGCGGGTTGAACACTGCACTGTGAAGCTGTCTGCAGCCTCTGAAGTGAGGGCTCGATTCCCAACTGGCCAGGGAGATTCCCACAAATGCACAGCAGACCTCTCCTGCCTCACCCGCTGCTCCCCTCAGCAGTGTCTTCAGTCAGTCTGCCTGTTCTGTTCCCCACTCTGTCTCTGATGAATTCTCTCACCCTCCTGCACTCTGACCTGTACCCCCATTCTTCTATAAATAAATCAATCTTTAAAAAAATAAATTATGGATCCAGATTTGACCAGATGCTTAAAAACTATTTCTTTAAAAAAAAAAAAAAGATTCATTTATGCATACAAGAACTGGGGTCCAGGCAAGAGGTGTGTAGGGGGTGAGAGGATTCACCAGAGACAGAGTGGGGAACAGAACAGGCAGATTAACTGAAATATACTGCTGAGGGGAGCAGTGGGAGAGTAAGGAGAGGTCTGAGTGCCATGTGGGTCACCTCCCTGGCTGGGGATCAAACTCGTGCTGCAGTGGCTTCATAGTGCAGTGTCTTAACTCCTTGTACCACCAGGGAGGCCCCATAACTCTTTATATCACATCTTCTCTCAGGAGGACACTGTGCTCTGGACCCAATCAAGTTTCTCATTTGTGATATCTTTCTTCTCTGTGCTTATAGTGACTCCTGTTATCTTCATGAACCACAATAACAATTTCAAGTTTTCCTGAGTCTTTACTATTGGAAGACAGTGATGGTTTAAGAAGTCTACCCACCTTTTTGTTTTCTGAGAAACTGGTTGAAAGGACTGGTGTTGTAAAGAGGAGAGCCAGGCCAAGTTTCTGACAGGCAGGAACTTTATTGAGCCCCACGTGGGGTTCGCTGGTTAAGCTCCTGGGTGGTTCCTAGACAGGGGCCGGTCACCAGAAAGACACATCCATGATTACAGGCCTGGTAGTTTTAGTCCCACCCACACCTCCCCATTCTCTAGAGAGGGTAGAAAGGCTAAAAATGTAGCTCATAGTCGATCATGCCTGTTTGAGAAAACCTCCATGAAATATCAAATTCATTCGATCTGGAGAACTTCCAGGTTGGTGAGGCACCCCCAACTCCATGCAGACAGAAGCTTTTGCACTCACAACCCCCTTCCCTTGAAGTCACCTAGGTAGCCCTTCATCTGGCTGTTCATCTACAACAATCTGGCTGTTCATCTGTAACCTTTATCACATCCACTAATGAATGGGTTTGCCCAATAAATGTACCCTGAGTTCTGTGAGCCCAGATGGCAAGTTAAGTGAACCTGAATCACAGAACTTCAGATGGGTGCCAAATCGGACAGATTTGGGGGTAACCTGGGACCTACACTTGTGATGGGCATCTGAAGAGGTGTCAGGGAGCAGTCTGTGACTGAGCCCTAAACCTGGGGGATCTGACAATAGCCCCAGACATTGTCAGAATTTAGTCAAATGTAGAACATGTGGCTGGTGTCCCAGAAGTTGCCTTGTGTGGGGAAAAGACCGCACATCTGGTGCTGAAACAAAGGAAACGTGGCTTTCCTAACTCAGCTGGGATATCTGGCTTTTCTTTCTCTTTTCCCTGTCTTTCTTGGTTGGCAAGAATCTCCTACCAGATTTCAGAAGAGGAGAACAGAGTCCCCTAAACATATATTCTCTAAGCTGAAATGAGCCATTTGGAAGGAAAGGGTCAGGGGGAACCACCAGGCAGGAGAGACCTCAGAATGTCACTGTCCTTTGTTTAATCAGTGAGTGAGTGTCTGGGCCATGGCACAGGACTTTAGTCAAAGGTGAGAGGCCTGACCTACGCTAGGGTCCTCTTGCCCCTCTCCCTTGTCCCAGCGTGGGAAGCCCCTTGTGCCTTCTAGGTCCCAGGGAATCTGAGTGAATTGCTTTTCCCTCAGATTAGTCAGAATAAAGCTAGCTGTCTCACCAGGAGCCTCATTTAGGAAACTGGTAGGAAACTGGAAAACTGGGAGAAAACAACTTTCAAGAAACCTTCATTTTTCAGTTCACTCTCCTGAATATTAACAAGAAACTTTTCTGAGAGTTGAGAAGAAACTGAGAAATGAAACTGAAAGTCTCTTTTCAGTGGGGAGTTGACCGAGGAACAGGAGGTGACTGTGGTGGGATGACTTCTCTGAATCTGGTAGGAGGCCACTGTGGCGTTTAACCCTTTCATTAATTTACACATTTACTGTAGCCCCTCCCCTTATCATGGGGGATATGTTACAAACGTCCAGTGTATGCCTGTAGCCTTATCGTTTTTTCTATGCATACACAAAGTGTAATGTATAAATTAGGCACATGTAGAGCTAACCAAGAATGGCTAGTACAATAGACCCATTACAGCAATATATGTAATAAACGTCATGGGGATGTGCCTCCCTCTCTAAAATATGTTCCTGTACACACCATTTTGGGGCTGCTGTTGACCTCAGGAGACAGAAAACATATATGGAGGAAATTACTGTAGAGAAAATGTGCTCACATGAGGGAGTCTGAGGTGGACCAGACAGACTGTCCTCTGTAGACTCAGCACAGCAGTAGAGGGGACACAGGAAAGATACAACACCCAGCGCAGAATGCAAAAGAAAAGAAGAGAAAAGAAAAACCCCTAAACTATAAGAGATTGACATTTGTCCAGAAAATCATGAAGGTTCAAATTATACATATTCCCCTGATGCCCCTTGTTCTCACACATTTGATCTTGAAACCAGTGATGTGCTGGGAGAAAAGAATTCCTGTTTGAACAGCTACTCAGGCCAAGCACTGGGAGAGACTGATCTGCCTCACTGGCACCTCCTGACATTAGATGAGGCCGAAGGCTTTTCCTCCACCAACTCATCCTGCAGCTGTGCCTCCCACAGGTGAGACTTTCGTGAATCTATTAGTTACGATTGGATCCTAGACTCAAACCTGTCTTGGACTGACAGGAAGTCTCTTGATTTTTCAGAAACACTTATCCTACTCTGCGGACACCACCAGGATTGTGAGACAACTATCCAAGGAATGGGAGAACATTTGTCCATCCATCATACACCTGTCTGTCTGTGAGTCTCTCTTTATCTAGCTGCTCTTCAGTCTTTCATCATCTGTTTCATCCAGAGCCTTTTCATTATCCCCAAAAGAAAATTTCCAGTGAGCAGGACTCCTCATTTCACCTACACCCCCTGTCCTGGAAACCACTGATGGACTTTTCTCTCTGTAGTTTGCCCTTTCTGGACATTTCATAGAAATACAACAAACACATTGTAGCCTTTGGTGTCTGCCTTCCTCACTCACCCTGTCTCCAGGCCTGTCCATGCTGTAGCAGGTGTCAGCACGACAAGCCTATTTTCGACCTAATAACATTCCATTATCAGAATAGGACACATTTGCTCATGCATTTATTAGTTGATGGGCATTTGGGGCTGTTTCACTTTCTGGTTATTAAAAACATGCTGTAACAAAGTTTTCTGTAAAATTTTTATGTGAACGTATATTTCAATTCTCTTGGAACTGAAACCAAGAAGTGAAATTGCCAATTCGTGGTGTAATTCCATATTTAGCTTTTTGAGGCACTTTTTTTTTTTTTTTACTGTTTTCCACAGCCTTTGCAGTAGTTTACATCCATACCGTAATGTTACAAGGTTTTAATATCACCACATCCTCTTATTTATTCTCTTTATTTTCATCCCATCTCTTCACATCATTCCTTTCATAGACATAAAATGTAACGGGTTTGTAAAGGAAGGGCAGACAATGGCAGACTTTAAAGGCAACCATTGAAAAGCCAACCCCTGAGAGCTGCCCATAGACCTGAGGCGCCCAGCAGGGGAGGGAGATACTAGCACAGGGGGGAGGGCACAGTGGGCTGCGTGGAGGCCTGTGGGTGCTCTGGAGGTGGGAGAGCTACAGGGACCACCCCTGAGGGACAAATCTTCCACTGTTCAGTATTAACAAGTGTAAAACAATGGTGCTTCCTTATATGAGAAAGGTATATACCCACGCTAGCTTCCCCTCTGCCTGCCACCTCCTTATCTCTCTCACTGTCTTCCCGGACACACGACTGTTTCACTCTGTGAGTTTGGAATTTTGATCTTCAGAGTTCTAAGAGCCTCATGAACAGTGTACCTTTCACATCCCCTAAGGTCCTTGTCTACACATTAGATCTCATATCTGAGAAAGGGTCCCCAAGTCAAGGAATGAGGGCATATCAGTCTTATGTTGTAGCTCCTTTGAACAATCACCTCAGAATAAAATCTTCGGAGTGCCGGGTAGGCACCTGTTGATCCATATTAACTAGTTTTGTGACTCTTTGGAGTGTAAGATCTTTTCATCCTTAACATGTCACTAGCTGGGTTCTTCTTGAACTTAACCCTAAAAATGTCCTTGCAACTTGGGGGATCAATAATGTAAGTGCTTCCCAATGGAATCACTTATAATCTTGCAAAGGTGAGGCTTCTGCAGTATTCTAGGCAAGAGAAGTGCCAGCTTTTCTATGGAGGGTGGGCTGATTCTGCTGTGTTTTAGGTGAGACCTCAGAGCTAATATCCTTGGAGTTTCTGCCAAGATACCCCATACTCTGTTCCAGGCTTCAAGTTCTAGGCCTTTCAGCAAGGGCCCTGATATTAGCATAGCAGTCCTGCCTTGGCTGAGTATCTCTGGGTTGTGTCTCCAAATATAAAGACCCTTGTCGTTCTGTGCATATGCTCACTCTTCTGTGCAGGACATAAAGACCTCTTTGTAAGCTACCAAACAACCCCCCAGGTATTCACACATGGACATCAAGTAGTTGCCAACTATACCCAGTCTATTACTCTGCAGGGTTGTAACCAAGTTTTACAATAACCAGTCAAATGTACTGTTCTTGTATCCCTCATAGTTTTCAAATGTCTGTATCATCACACTGGTAAATGTATTTTGAGATCACAACCAGTAAAATCTTCAGCCATTTGGGTGCCATCTTGTGTGAGAGACTGTGTCTGCCTCACATGCTCTCAGGATGGGTCTTTCTTCCCAGCTTTGGCGGTGAGAGGTGAATCAGCCATTCGCCCAATTCTTTCATTTGCTGTTTTCTAGGACCACACCATGCCATCTATGTAAATTTGAGCCCTTCAAGATGCATGCACTAAGATGGGGTTAGATGTGCAAGTGATGTCAAGGGAGACGTGCCTGTGAATGATTAAGAGGTGGGAGCAAGTCAAGGAAACTTTCCAGATCATCATGCAAATCTAACACCTGTGAAGGGGAGAGGGAAGAAAGGATGAGGGAAGACAAGTTTCAGACTACAGCTCTCTTCTGAAAAAGTCTCAGGTCCTTAGCAAAGGTTACTTGCTGGAAGAGCACTGCAGTGTAGGGACAGGTCAGCTCTAACAACCGTACCATGGTAAGTTACTGGCTGGGACAGCCTAGGTAGGGATGCCATGTGGGCATGACGAGCACCTTGATGGCCCAAGGGGAGAGCAGCATGAAGCTGTTCTGTGCAGCTTCTCCTGACGGAGAGCTAAGTGTGAACATCATGCAGCAGGAGGGTGCACCATTGAATAGGAGCCGGTGTGGAGATTTTGGTTCATAACCAGGTGTTTTGTGAAAGGAAATACAAGTGGAATGAAAGGAAGGAAGATGAATTACTAGAGAACTTGTGAGAATGATGCTCAGGGAAATTGCAGGCTGATGAGTAGAAGGCCCATGCAGTAATCCAGCAGAGAACATCAAACTCAGAATGTCTCAATGGTGCTCTTCAAGGCTTTTTCTTACACATCCTCCAGAGCTGTTCCCTTTAGAGGAGTTCACTTCTGGAATGGCCCTCTGAGGGGCCACACGGACCCATCCTTCCGGGAAACAGCACATGTGATAATATCTCAAAGAGCAACCAATGCAAGTTTCTAGAAATTTTCTAAGGCCATTAGAATATTTATCCAGGAAAATCTGTTTAAACTCTATCGCTCTAATCCACCTTTATGCTTGCTTGTTATGCTTATGCTTAACTTAGAAAGTAGGGATAATAAAAGCCAAATGAAGTGTCAGGTCACTCATTATTTATTTTTTCTTTTCTTTTCTTACATGACTGTTCATTCATGTACAGTATTCGGTTTTTCCCGTCATGTGTAGCCCCCACAGTTCTCCCACGACCACACCACCAGCGACCACCCCCGTAGTCCCTGAGCCCTTTCCTCCCCTGTTTTGACCCCCTCTTTACCCTCCCCCTGTGTGTGCCTCACATATGTGGTCAGCCTGCTGGTGTGTATTTTCTAGGTCACCCATTGTTCTCTACCACGTCATTTTAATGTAGTCGTAACTTTGGATAATTCTATTAAGAACATTATGTATTTGCCCTTCTCCCAAATTATTTCTTTTTCAGTGACATTAGCAAATCGAAGGGGGAGGACTTTTTTTGGCACCTGATGATTGATGTGGCTGTGCACATGCGGCTGGAAGTCTTGTACCTATATCTGTTCACTTCAGAAGCATAATGGCCCCTATGTAAGTTAACTGGTGAATTACTTAAGGGACATTTACATCATATCTAAACAAGTAATTTTAATGATTGTGGTAGTATTTCATATACATTATTATAATTTTAAAAAATGCCAAATTGTCATTGACTATATAAACTGCCAAAATTATTAATAGAGTTCTAGTAACTAAATACCTGCATCTTCATAGACAAATATTGTGACTGTGAAAATAGACCTCCTTAGAAAAATAACACACAAAAAAATTATCTCATTTCATTGAAAAAATGTTAAAGCATATTCACAAGCCCAATCAGGACAAAGAATCAAAAGATTGCACTGCATTTCATTTGCATTTCAACTTCAAAAAGAATGAAAAGTAATAGTTCATAATATATTAATCTAAAGTGTCTAGTTTCCACCAAAAAAAATGCAAGATATTCAAAGAAACAGTAAAATATGATCCCTACTCAGGAAAAAGGCAGGCAGGAGCAATCCCCTGCAAGAATAATCCAATGTCGGATATAAGGGTAGAAGACCTCAAATACACCATAATAAATATATTGAGAGAACTAAAGAGAGACCAAGATTAGGGATGTAAAGGTAGGTGTGATGAAATTCACATCTGAAGTGGAAGCAGCCAGGAGCAGAGCCGGCAGAGGGACAAAGGAGGCCCTGAAGCTGGGAGACTGGCAGGCTTCCCAGCGCCCCCCGCCCCCCCCACAAATCCGTGTTCATTCATTGGGCTCTCTCTGGAGTTCTCTTGTGGTCCTGCCTCTCTGTAGTCACTTGGCCTCTGGTTGCCATTCGCCACCCTCTCACTGCACCATCTCTGAGTGACACAGCCCTTTGGCCTCAGCCTCCAGGCCCAGGTGTGTCCAGTCACGCATGCTCACACCATCCTGCAGGTGTCCCCCATTAGGCCTGGGCTCCCAAGTGCCTCCTGCATTCAAGGCCATTGGTGATAGCAACAGAGGCTAGTGGCGTCAAAGCCTGACAATCTATTTACCCTACAACATCATGTAAGAAATATCCATAAAAAGAAATTATTAAAAGAATCAGATGGTATAGTTAAAAAGTATAATATCTAATGTGAAAATTTCATTTGAATCACAACATAGATTGGAACTGGAAGAAGGAATTAGAGGACTTAAAGATAGAGATTATTCAGTTGTGCATAGTCTGAAGAACAAGGATAAATGGAATGGGTAATGTGCATAGAACCTTAAGGAAATGTGGGAAACCACAAGGCATGGCACCACACACATGGTGGGAGCCTGGAAGGAAAGGAGAGAGAGAAAGGAGCAGAGAAAATATCTGCTGATATTGGCTGAAAACTTCCCCAATTTATAAAGATCAATCTGACCATCCAAGAAACTAAATGAATTATGAATTCAAAGAGATCCACAGACAGACAAATTGAAGTAAAACTTTTGAAACTAGAAGCAATAAGAAAATCTTGAAAGCAGTAGGAGAAAAATGACTCACTTCATACAAGAGATCTCTAATAAGATGGACAGAAACGTCTTACCAATTCCCATGGGGGTGGGAGGCAGTATGATAACAGGTTCAAAGTGCCAGCCAAGAACCCTCTATCTTTAAGTAAACAAAAGCAAAATAAATTTCTATGTAAAGAAACATTGAGACAATTTGTAACTAGCGAACACAACTTACCAGCTGTACTAAAAGGAGTTCTTTATGTTGAACACAAGTAATTTGATTTGAAATACTAGTAATGATTTCTATGAAAATTTCAGTACATAAAAAAAATCCCTTGATTTTATGTAGATCATTCATTCATTTATTGAATAACTTTTATTGAGCGCCCACATTGAACCTGCATTGTGATGGTGCAGGGATGTCACAATGATCAAGAGTCTCATGCTCTAATGTTTGTTTTATCCTAGACAATAAGAACAAAATAAAAAAATGAATAATTAATGGCATCCCAAAGGTGAGAAGTTATATGAAAAACAAACATGTGAAGAAGTGTTTCTGAAGGAGCTGAATGCCAGGGGTCGGATAGGGGTGCAGACCGCAGCTCTACTTGGGATGGTTTAGGAAAGTCTCATTGATAAGGTGAAGTATCAGTAAGGACTTGAATATAATTTAGGAGAACACGGGAACTTATACTGTGGGGATCTGGGGGAAGAATATTCCAGGCAGAGGTTCCAAGTAGAGCCAGGGACCGCAGCAGGAAGGCAGGAGAGCTTGAGGAGCAGCAGGTGGTGTGAGGGAGGGAGAGACCAAAGGACAGAAGTAAGGGAGTGACTCAGGATGGTTACTCGGGCTCTGTCACAGGGGCCTTGGGGACTCTTCTGCTGCCCTTGGTTTTCACACTGAATGAAAAATGAATCTATTTCATGTTTGTTTGTTTTTTACCAAAGATTTAAGTAATTAAATTACATTTAAAAAAAGCTTTCTGACTGGTATGCTGACAACAGACTGTAGAGTTGGTGTTTTGTCTGGAGTCTATGAAGCCTTAGTGCCTCCACTGGATGGTGGTAACTGGTTGGATTTAAGTGGTAGTCTGAAAGTAGATTTTTACAAGTTTTACCCATGATGAGGGGGTGAGAGGAGTTATGAATAATTTAGAGGATTTTTTGATGCAGCAGATTAAACAATGGATTTTCCTTTAATTGAGATGAGAAAGGTCATTGATAAAGCAGGTTTTGGGTGAGTGGGTATCAGAATCCAGTTGCAAGTATATTCATTGTGAGATGTCTCTACTGCAGGGGGAGGAGGGAGAGGGATCAGAGGGAGGGAGGGAGGAGCACAGGGGACTGAGGTGATGGTGCACGGGTGCGTTGGGGAAGGAAACTCTATGGGGACTACACCTGAGGTGTGGGGGGAAATGAACAACGATGTAAAAAATAAAAAAAAAAGTAATCTAAAAAGAAAAAGTAAGTTTGAGATGACCAAGATGTTCAGATATGGGTGTTGAGTGAGCAGGTGTGTGATATTTGTAGAGAGGTGTGAGTGATACATGTATTAAGAGTCATTAAAAAAAAAAAGAGTCATCAATGTACAGGTGATATTTATTGCCATAGGAACTGGTGAAACATGAGAGAGAGAGAGAGAGAGAGAGAGAGAGAGAGAAAGGAGAGACAAGAGGGAGGACGTGGGGGAGAAGGAAGAGCAGGGGAAGGACAGTAGATCTTGAAGGAGGACCAAGGACTGAGCCTTGAGTGTGGCCGCAATGGGAGCTATAAGAGTGCTGCAGGAGGAAACAGGGTGCAGTATCCTCAAATTCAAGTGAACAAAGTGTTTTAGGGAAAGAGTAATAAGTGATGCAGGTAATTCAAGAAAGATGATTGAGAAAAGAAACATGTTGTAGCAGATTAGATATCATTGGCGACCACTTATTTAAATTAATGTTACTTGCATTATCCCTGTATGAGACTGAACCATCTTTGACGTATTTCTTCCTTCCAACTGTCACCACCTTTGATGCAAAATCTAGCGAACTTGTCCAGTAGCAGCAATTTCTCCTTGGCTGCACTGCCTACCCTGTGCAAAGCACCATTGTAGAAGCTGAACATAAGAACATGTACACTGTTCCTCATGACCTCACAATGGGGAATGCAGGTGTAACTCCATCTCATTATAGCCATGAGAATGTTTACAACTGTAAATATTTCTATTAGCATGGCAGTTGCTTCTCTTCTTGCTGTACCACCACCACCTGGCATTAGTGCAATCATCCTCTGTGCCAGGCACATGCGTTATCCTAGGTAGCCCTCACACCCTCATGAGGGGCTGTCATTTTATAGATGAAGAACATAAAGCACAGGAGCTTGGCGAACTCATTCTATTTCACAGAGGCAGTAATGGTGGACATCCTCTGTAACATGAAGCCATCTAACATTTGAGATAGTGTTCTTTAACACTGCAAGCTGGTATTACCTAACTCTCCAAACTTGATCTATACTCACCAATCTATTCCCTTTAAGTTACCTTCTTTTTGCTTCCCTATGTTCAGTTTGATTGAGAGAACTTTTTTTAAATTTTTATTTTTTATATATTTCTTACATCATTTTTCATTTTTGCAGAATGTATGCATTTTCATCTTGGTTATATTCCCCATGCAATTGTACTCCCCTTATTTTGACTCCAATCCCTTCTCTCCCCCACGTCCCCCCTTCCCTCGCAGTGTGTCTCTGGTTTATAGTTTCTTGTTGATTTTGATTTTTTCTTTATTATAGTTATCTTGCTCCTGGTCTCTTATTTAGGTTTTCTAAACTCCTGCTATGAGTGAGACCATCCAGTATTTTTCTTTTTCTTTCTGGCTTATTTTGCTGAGCACGATCCCTTCCAGCTTCGTCTGTGTTGCTGCAAATGGCATGAGTTTATCTTTTTTGATTGCTGAGTAATATTCCATTGTGTATATATACCACATCTTCTTGATCCAGTCATCTATTTTTGGGCATTTGGGTTGTTTCCAAAGCTTAGCTGTTGTAAATAGTGCTGCTATAAACATAGGGGTGCAGGTGCCCTTTGGAATTGATGTTTCTGTATCCTTTTGGTAAGTACTTAGGAGTGGAATTGCTGGATCATATGGGAGCTCTATCTTTAGTAGGTTGAGGAATCTCCATACAGCTTTCCAAAGTGGTTGGACCAGTTTGCTCTCCCACCAGCAGTGCAGTAGAGTTCCTTTTTCCCCACACCCTCGCCAACATTTGTTGAGAACTTTTCTAATAAATCACTTATATGTGAATCTATCTCGATTGTGTATGTGAATTTAGTCTCAATTCTGACGTACCTAATACATGCTAAATAATGGTTAGGCCACTTTGTTAAATTTCAGTTTGATTAGTGCTTGAAATAGCTGTAAGTATTGATGAAGGACATTGCTATATTGAGATGCATTTGTGCTGTAAGATACAATCACACATAATGAGACCTTACTGTGTTCTAGCCCCACCTTGATGGCAGCTTTCTTCTGTTCAGCGTTATCACAGAAAAACCATTAATAATTGACGTATCTCTCTAGTCCTATTTAGTTCTTTCCAGTAATTTATTTTTTTTGATCTCTTGAGCACAGCCCATGGATATCATTTAATAAGTACACAGCTTAAATGCCTGTGGAATTAATCAAA